ACTATCTGTCTGAATATCAGACATCTTAGGCATAACATGGAACAGGTATTTTTCATCAAGTATTGGTATGTTGAACTTTAAGTCCCTACAGAATATGATGAAAAAAACATTTAAAAATTAGAATATATTTTTAAAAATAGGCATAAAGAATTATGTACTTCTTATGTTTACACATAAGTCCAAAAATCTAACTATATAAAACCTTGAAGCAGGACAGTCCCACAATATTTCTTTTCCTGTCTCTTGCTTTCATTCACCACCCCCTTCTTTTTGACCCATCATCTACCCGAGAGATTTTTTTTTTTTTAATTTTAGGGGAGGGTCTACAGGGTGTTCAGGGTCTCACTACTAGATCAGACTCATAGTGATCTACCTGTTTACAGCCTCCCAAGAGCTGGGATTATAGGTGCACGCCACCACGCCCAGTCTCAGTTGCCATCTCAGCTGGCCCCAGGGGTGGGGCAGGCACGCTGGCCGGGCGATAGAACCCCTGGTCCCTGCGCACAGGCACTTTAATCTGCTGAGCTATTTGGCCGGCCCTATCCAGTGGTTTCTAATTCTGTAAGGTTCTGAACTTTCTATTGCAAATAACAGAATTTATTTCCCACCCTCTTCCCTGTCATGTAATTGAACCTCAGCCTGTGGTACATGCTAGGTAAGCAATCTACCACTGAGCTGTAATCCCATATCCTCAGAAATGCCATGTGAACTAGGTTAAGAACAAGGACATTTACAGGCTTCCTTATGTGGGTTGGGAGACTATTAGGGAGCTCTCTTTCCGTTTAGTAGACTTGGGGATTGGAGCTGCTTGTCTCTATTCCAGGGTTGTCCCATTTATAGATTGGATTTTTGTGCATCCTTAATGAATAGAAAAGATGGTCACAATGCAGATCCAAATTTAATTTCTGAATTTACAAATTCCATAAAGAGCGTTTTCTGTACTTCTCAAGCCTATTCCCCAATCGTCATGGCCTAACTTATCATATCTGTATTTCTAGGAGGAAAGAGAATGAGACAGTGTGCTATTCTAGTAAAGTAGTCACTAGTAGATTATTAGGTTGTTTTTAAATAAATTTAGGAGAAGAGTAAAATCTGAAAGTTTGAGTTAATGAGTGTGCTAAAAAAATTATAGTATCTTTAATGTGCTATAAAGAAACTTTTTTTGTTATGGAGTAGTTAACCAATTTTTACAAGGCTTAGGGGGTGTTGGTGTGGAAGTTTATGTGTTTGTGGTTTATTATTTTATATAAATTCTGTTAATGTACAAATGCAAGGCATCTGAACACACACAAAAAACAAAAATGCAAATATAAGCCATCTGGAAAATTAATTTTAAAAAGTCACCTAATCTGCAATGTAGAGACAGCTACATTTGGATGAATTTCTTATGCATAGTTTCTTTCAAAGATAACACCACATTCTGATATTAATTATTCCTATGTTTTGATCAGTATTAATTATAACTTTTTTCAGATAGTGAAAACTTAATTTCATTCAATACTGATTCCATCACAGTTGTCTGATATGTTTTCACTAATTTTCCAGGCTTAAAGATAACTTTTAATTTTCTTGACATGAAATGCCATCATTAAATAATTTTAATTGTTAATTTGTTTAGTTGTTCATTTGATGGGCATAGTGTCTTAATTTTTGTGTCCTTTATTACTAATAAGGTTGGTCATTTTTTGTTTTATTTAACTCTTCACAGTTTTTCCCTGTGGGTTTTCTTATTCTTTATCCACTTATGAACATATTTATTGACTTCTCTGAGTTATTAAAAATAATTCTTTTCTTAGATTGTAGTTTAAATTTTTTAACATATAAACTTAAATTCTTTTGTGTATTTAAATTCCATTTGGCTTTTGACAAGTTGTTTTCTTCAAGTTTAGAAATTCTCTGCTTTCAAAGATCCTATAGTTTATCTCAACATTTTACTTTTTTTGTGGATTAGAACTATTTGCTCTGTCTAAAATTTATTTTGAAGCATGAAAGAATGTTAAAGGCATATTTATTCTTCAAAAGAGTATTGTTTTGAAGTTTCACATTAGTCCTCTTAAATTTCTGTAGGTCCTCCTTATTCCTAGTTTTCAAGTTACAGCATTTGAAGAAAAACCAGTTTAGGCTTAGTTTTAGTTATTTTTATAAGCTAATATTGATTTTTTGTGAGATTTATGGAGAATGAAAGGGGATAGGTTTTTAATGACAATAGAAATGAATAAAAAACCTCTTTGTTGTTGTTGTTGTTGTTGTTGTTGTTGTTGTTGTGGTACTGGGGATTGAACTCAGGACCCTGTGCTTGCCAGGCAGGCACTTATTCTATTTAGCTGTCTTCCCAGCCCCAATAAAAAACCTCTTGCAAACAAACTTTTTATTTTAATTTTATTGGTACAATGAAAACATTTGTATTTTTGGGGAATAGCATTTGTTCGTGAAAAACATTGTGACAGAAATCTGTTTAAACAGTGAGAAAATTCTAGATTCTTCAGGCAGCCCAGAGTTTTGAAAAAGTCTGTGCTTTGGCAGGAGCCCAGGAGAGGAAATGTCTACATCTGCTGAGTTCTAGAAGACGTCCCAAAGTCATTGTAAGGCAGCCAAGAAAGCAGCGCATTTCACTACTTACTGTGTGGTTCTGGAAGTATCTGGAAGTTTGCAGCAGACTTGAGGGGAGGAGGTTTAGGAGTTCTTCCAGATTCATTCTGGTGATGTTTTTATTGAGATTCAGAGTTAGTGGGGGGAAAGAGGTCATTTTTCAGTTTTGGAGGAACGGAAAGCTTTCAGTGTGGCCTTTATTGAGCCTGTTGGTTTAGACGAATTCACATGAGAAGAGTCAGAGATGCCTTCATAAAGAGAGAGGCACAGGGTGACAAAAGTCAGACATCAAAAGAAGCCTGTTACTGAGGCAAGTGGTACTGTAATGCTAGCTGATTCTCTTGTTAGACACTAGAAAGATTTAAAGTCCCTGTTTGTGGTAGAGAAGCAGCAAGCAAAAAGTTCTAGCAGGGCCTCTGGGAAAGCAAGGTAAAAGCCTTCCTGCTGGTGAGGTGATACTCATTTGCCATGAATCATCTTCCCTAGAAAAGACTGCTACCAGAGATAAAAACAAAAAAGAAGGGCTTTGCGGCCGGAATTAGAACAAGAAAGGAGGAAAACAGCCACAGTTATATACTTGGCTAAGATTTTTTTTTTTTAATAGAAATGGTAGATAAAAGAGGAAAAAAAATCTCAAGACTGGATTTTTAGAGAGAAATTAGAGTTTTAAATGGACAGGGCTGTTTATTTGAGATGTAATTCATGCACTAAACAGTTCACTCATTTAATAGTCATGACAGTACTTTACTAGGGTGTTTATTTTTATTGGATTTTTTTTTTTTTACTGATTAATAGGACAGTTTCAATAATTAATACATTGTATATTGTTATCTTCTTAGTGGTTATCTATAGTACAAGATGCAGACAGGATATCCTGTCCAAACACTATTAGTACAAATCTTTCTTCTCATTGAATTAAGTGAAAGTAGTTGTATATCTATCCTAACTATTCTGCATATACAGATACAAAATGGTCCTTCCTTTGTATCGCCTTTTTTTGCTTGATCCTGTCAGGAATGGGTATTCCATTGGCATCTACGTACTATAGATGTGTGAATTCAGCAAAACAATCCAACGCAGTCTGGCAGTCCACAGTAGTAGTGGGTTGTCCACAGAAGTTGTTGACTTGAGCCTTTCACAGCTCAGCATATTAATGTGGCTTTACTTTATATACCTCATTTTTATACTTTTCTGCTGGATGGTTAAGACCAAGATAAAGCAAGACTTTTATTGGATTGATTGATTGATTGATTATTTATTTATTTATTTATTTATTTATTTTGAGGAACCAGGGATTGAACTCAGGATCTTGCACTTGTCAGGGAAGCGCTAATTCCACTGAGCCATCTCCCTGGCCCCTAATTATTTATTTATTGGTACTGGTAATCGAACTCAGGACCTTGTGCTTGCCAGGCATGTGCTTAAGCCACTGAACTATCTCCCTGGCCCTCTAGGGTGTTTAAATATCAATCACAGTCCATACAGTCCATTTTGGGACACTTTCCTCATCCTCATACCCACAACTTTTAATTGAATTTATTTTACAGTTTAAAATTATATACGTTAAATATGGAAAAAATTAGGAATTTTAAGTGTTTTTTTTTTTTTTTTTGGTACCAGGGATCAAACTGGGGACCTTGCACTTGCCAGGCAGGTGCTTATGCTTCTGAGCTATCTCCCTGGCCCAGGAATTTTAAGGATTAATTGGACAATTATGAAATCCTTTTTCTTTTAAAAATATTGTAATATCTTTAAAATATATTTGTAGTAATCAGGTTGTCATGCTAATACATTTTTATGGGAAAATCAGTGTTTGTTTTTTAAAAATTTTTAAAAAGAATACAAAATAGTAAGGAAAAAACCCCCATTAGTTACAGAATTTCACTAAACATAGTAATTCAACAATGGTTGTTGTATTACATAATGTTATCCTCAAATCAGTTGTTCAGATTACCAGTATAAACAAGCAAAATTGGTAAAGAAAAAAATATATACACACATATATATAGGAAGTTAAAAGAAAAAAATAATGTAAGCATTAACTGTTCCTATTAATGGATCAGCAGAAATCAGCAGTACAATTATCTAAGCCATTCTGCATATATACAGAAATCATTGTTTACATCTATATCACAGAAGAAAAGTTTGCAAGCTATATTAAAAGCTACTACTATTACTTACTCTAATGGTAATAATAACTAAGGAAAAAACAAATGGAAGTTTTTAAGAATAAGTACCAGGTTATACCCAGTGAAAAGTAAGAAATTAGCTATTATTAAATCAATATACACAAATTAACATTGTTCTGTAGGTAGCCTAATTTTTGAGTCTGACTTTCATTTCATTTATAGACAAAATGGATAAGCTTTTTTTTTTTTTTTTTTTTGATAATGACTTTGTTTCTTTTATAGGTGTGAACCTGTAAAATTAAATCATCCAAGATGATCTGGCATATTCTAATTGTAGGGATTCTGCTTCCCCAAACTTTGGCCCATCCAGGGTTTTTTACTTCAATTGGTGAGTTGTAACTACTTTTTGTGTTGTTTTTTTGCATTCAAAAGTTTCCATTGTTTTGGTGTTTTTAAATAAGTAAAAAAAAAAAAAAAATTCAGTGCATTTGGAAGTATTTGACTTACCCTCCGCCCTTCTAAAAGTCCTCTCTCCTTTTTAACTCGATTCTTTTTTCTTTAAATTGATTTTTATTATAAAAATATTACATATTGGTTAGAAACTTAAGAAAATTTAGAAAAGCTTCTTAAAGAAAATTACTAATAGGTCTATCTAGCAAATAGTGCATATATTTATTTGTATGTTAGTCCTTTTTGATGCACAGATAGACAAATAAACAGCATATTATTTTCTAACCTGATTTTTCCATGTAACAATCTACTGTGAGCATTCTTTTTGATACATAATAATTTTTAAAAGTCCTTATAGGTATTATAAAAATATATATCAGGGCTGGGGGTATACCTCAAAAATACAGCAGGCAGCCCTAGGGTCAATTCCTAGCATTGGAAAAAGTTGGTTAGAAAACCAGAAGTACAGTACATACAATATAAGACCTCCCCATGTCTCTTGCTTTTACAGTATTATTCATTGTTTGATATGTATTCTTTTATATTTTCTCTATGTTTCATTGTCTTAAATGAGATGTTTTCCTTCATTCTCTTGACCATTTGAACCCTTATGGAATTATAGAACTAAAACATAAGTATTATATATTTATACTTGATTTCAAGATATAAAATGACAAGCCCTCTAATCCCTTATAAATATTCAAGCATAGGTCATTTGCAGTTTTTTAGTGTGATTTTTGTTTATTAAGTAAAAATTTAATTAGACCTTAGAACAGAAAGTGTGAAAGGAGGTGGTGAAGTAGAAACATTGATCCTTGGAAAGTGGTGTTGTGTTTTAATTCTAATTTATTAAAAGATAGTAAATTAGATATTATATATATATATAAATTATATAAGTATAATATAAACACATGTTATGTTTAATATATTTATTATTTACTGTTCATATACAATATAATAATTATATAAATATTTAAATCCTGACTTCTCTGAGAGATTATTAAGGCAAGAGGATAAGTTAGAACAGATAAAAAATATGTAATGTGCTTTACTTAATAAGACTGACATCTGGGTGTTATCGAGATAAGAATTCCTCTCTTTTATTTAATTATATAAATTATATATTGTAATATATTAGATCATTTGTTGAATATATTATAGTCCAAGGTTACAAATAAAGTATTTTGAAAATTAGACCCAGAATGCATAGTTAGAACAGGTTTTGGCTAATGAAGAAGATTTAGCTAATGAAGAAGAAAAAAGATAATTTGCTTCAACACATCTAATTCAGTTAAATCCCCTCATAGGATGAAGCGTTCTCAGCCATCCTTGGCTGACTCGAGAATGTGTGTTGATGAATATGATTGTTTGGTAACCTTCTTTCCCTCTTTCCTTTGTAGGTCAAATGACTGATTTGATCCATACGGAGAAAGACCTGGTGACTTCTCTAAAAGATTATATTAAGGCAGAAGAGGACAAGTTAGAACAGATAAAAAGGTATGTAGTGTATTTTGCTTAATAAGACTGACATCTGGGTGTTTTTAAGATAAGAATTCCTGTCTTTTGTTTAAATGTTTGTTTAAACTTATTTGTTTAATAAGTAGCTAAGTATGAGGGCTTTTTTTTTTTAAATAGGCTCTCAGTATGTAGTTCAGGATGGCCTTGAACTCATGAACTGCAGCTTTCCTGCCTCAGTCTCCTGAGTGCTAGGATTGCAGGTGTGTACCACTATACATGACAAATTGTATTAGAGGGTCAATTTGAGCTCAGGATTTTTAAGCTAGCCTGTGTAACAAAGTGAAAAATCTCTAAAATGAATAACAACAAAAAACTTGAATAAGTCAAAAATTTTTTTAAATGCACTTAGTACAGGGTATTCAGGGTCTCGCTACACAGATCAGACTTGTAGTGATTGTCCTGTTTTTAGCCTCCCAGGAGCTGGGATTAGAGCCACCATGCCCAGTCTCAATCAGTTAGCCTGTGTAACAAAGTGAAAAATCTCTAAAATGAATAACAACAAAAAACTTGAATAAGTCAAAAATTTTTTAAATGCACTTAGTACTCAGCGCACCCTGGGGGTGGGGTAGGCACAGCACACTGGAGATTGAACCTTGACCACTGTGTTCTGCCTAAGCAGGTGCTTTAGTCAGCTGAGCTATCTGGCCAGCCCTATAAGTTAATTTAAAAGAATATGTGAGTAAACTTTGGGCGAGTTTGAACTTTGTAATAGCTATTTGGCCTTAAAGATCTATGGGGAAATGAGTGTTTTACACTCAGTAGAGGGATCTAATCCTAGCTTTTACTAAAGTAGGAAGAATCCATTTACTATAGTCATTTGAGAGAAACAGAACTGAGCAAAATTCTGCCAAGTTAAGTTTTTACCAGTAAGATCTTACTGTTTAAACAGCCTTTATAATTTTACTTTAGAACAAAGTCATATGTGCAGCTTTAACTCAGAAGTCTCTAATCTAGTCTTGTTTCCCAACTACTTTACTACATTGTGCTTTTCTTTAATGAGTGTATGCACATTTTTATGTCATACATTTATAGATGGGCAGAGAAGTTAGATCGGCTGACTAGCACAGCAACAAAAGATCCAGAAGGATTTGTTGGGCATCCTGTAAATGCTTTCAAGTTAATGAAACGGCTGAATACTGAGTGGAGTGAGTTGGAGAATCTGGTCCTTAAGGATATGTCAGATGGTAAGTCTGAGGTCACAGATGCCCCCCACACAAAAATAAAAATAAAAAGGTAAAGCAGTATTGCTACTACTGGTAAAATGCTGAAGTTGGTGATGAGTTAGTTTCCAGAATGTCAATTTCCTGAGTCAGGAGGATCATAAATTCAAGTTATTCAATGTTGTAATTATTGCCTGGGTGCATTTAGTTTGACTAAGGTTCATTTAGTCAAGATCCTAAATTCTTTGATTATAACAAAAATAGTAATGTCTGCTACTGTGACTGACACTGGTGATTTTGTTTTGAAGTCTAGAGACTAGTCCAGCATGCTTCTGCTGTATACACAACCTGTCTTCAGTTACTTAGTAGCCTCTCATCTATCAGATCATTTTCAAAGTACTTTATGCTCAAATAACCCTTATTTTACTTAATGATGGTCCCAAAATATAACAGTAATGATAATGACAATTCATATGTGCCAAAGATAAGCCATAAATTGTTTCCTTTAAGTGAAAAAATGAAAATTCTCAATAAGGAAAGAAAAAGAAAAAAAAATCTGTGTGCTAAAGTTGAAAAAATTGTATACTGAGGTTGCTGATATGTGTGGTAAGAATGAATCTTGTATCTATGAAATTGTAAAGGAAAAAGAAATTCATAGGTACTGAGTTCAAGTCCTGATGCAAAAAAATGCATGCTAATTTTGCTATTGTACTTGATTCAGATTACAGAAGTTTTTGTCGTATTGCCTGTTAAGTGATTACATAAGATAGGCCTTGAATTTGTATATCTATATAGAAGAGAAACAGTGCATCTGGGGTTCGGTAGTAACCATGATTTTGGCAACCACTTGTTAGCTGTCCTCTTTAGAAAAAGTGGACTCCTGTGTTAGACTTAAGACAGGAAACCTTGAAAAGTAATGGTAAGTACTTATGAATACTTATTCTCTATGATGATGAGATGGCCTATGATTATTTTCTCTACTGTATAAATACTGTACTCTGAAAACGTTTTTAAGAAAATACAGCCCCATCCCTCTCCCTGCCTTTTGTACCCCCCCTTTCTGCCTATCCCCTAATTTCCTTCCTCTCCCTTTCCTTTCATCCTTCCTTCTCCCTCTCCCTCTACATAGAAACAGACACAGACACAGACACAGACACACACACACACACACACCCCTACCTCATTCATTCATTCATTCATTCATTCATTCATTCATTCATTCAAAGTAATGACCTGTGCAGTTCTTTTATACTGTGAACCTTGAAATTTTGCTGTTCTAATCTGTGGTAGTCGTACCATACTATATATATTTTTTTTCTGTTTTTATTAGAGAGGATTTAACCTAAAATTTTGTTTTCAACATAAGAAACATTACAGTCTAGTGTACAACTTGCATGTAAAGTTCATGTGGAAATTTTTACTGAGAATTGATTTAAGACTTAAAAAATATGTTTCATATGAACTTTAATCCTTTCCCTCCTGGTTGTTTCTTTTGTACATTTCCATTAAAATAAAAATGCTTAATTGTTTGCTGGTCAAAGTACAAATAGTTGACCAAAAGTTCTTGAGAGTAGAGGGAGGTCTCATACATAATTTTTATTTACAGTGGTAACATTAATATCACTAAAATTTTAATCACTTGTTGGGAAAGACTCACGGGCGCTGGCCGCAAACAAAGACACTTGGACACTCAATGCAAGCATAGTGAGGGCTCAAGCAAAAGAGCTGCTATGCCACCTTCGGTTTTTATTTTCTTATATTGAGTCTCAGCCTTTAGGTTACTTTCGGTTAACAAAACAAAACCTTATCGTGTGTGCCTAAGATTTATGTTTAAGCTATATGTGACATGCAGCTGCTAGGGACCTGGGAACGAGGACATGAAAGCAGGATGTCCTTGAGTTCCAAGTGTTCTTGGTTACTCCCTCTGCTGTTGTAGTCCTGTTTTTTATTTCTCATCCCACAAGCATGCAGGTCATTTTGCATGTTTCTGTTTTAAGTTCTTATCCCAACATCTCCACTTTCTTTGTTTGCTTAATACATGAATTTGTCTCATAGGTTACAATCATTATAGCATAAGGGAATACATTGTGGGATGCAACAAATGAAAATTATTCCACAACAGAGGAGTACAAACATGAGAAATATTAGTTTTAACCCTTTCCAGGGAATCCATTGTCTTAGCCAATCAAACAAATCCCATCCTCCTCCTTGTTGTATCTGTAAGGCTAGTTCTTTTAAAAAGTCTACTTGTTTTTGTATGTATTGACTGTTATCTGATAGAGTAAAACAACACATATTTTTTTACCTTTTTACATCCCTGGTGATGAAATAAAAGCAGATAATCAATGGCAGCATGGTTGTCTAAAGTGGCTTGTCTACATTCCTTTTGTTCCACCTTGAGCAAGGCAATAGCAATAGATGTGGCATTTAAAGCCTTTGCTATATTACATCCCAACTGTAGAACATGTTTTTCAGCTATTTCTCCAAAGAATAGATTACCTACAATACTGAATATATAGCATAAGCTTTTGCATCTGACAGGAACGTAACATTATCATCACAGGTAGGGAGCAGTGATACTAGAAATGTCTCTGGATGGATAAGATTACGTGCTTGGGGGTGAGTCAAATCAGTTTGGGAAGGAAGCATCACAGCCAATCTGTTTAAACAACAGGGGATGGGACTGGTCTGATAGCTCAGCAGATTAAAGCACCTGCTTAGGCAGAGCTCAGTGGCCAGAGTTCAATCCCCTTGGTGCTGTGCCTGCCCCACCCCTGGGGCACTCTGAGACAGCAATTTAGACTGGGTGTGTTGGCTCGTGCCTGTAATCCCAGCACTTGGGAGGCTGAAAACAGGAGAATCACTATGAGTCTGATCTACGTAGTGAGATCTGTAGACCCTGTCCTAAATACAAAAAGAAAAAATAAATGAATAAAATAAGCAACAGGGGACATTAGAGAGATTGGCAGGAATATAATTAAAGGAATGATTATTACATATAAAAAACTATCCTAGGTGTAGTTGAGTGTTACCATAATTAGAAATATAGTCATCATAATTGGATCAGTTTAAGTTACCCAACAGTTTATGACATTTGGCTCCGGTGCAATTTACAAATCATTATTACTTTATGGGTAATGAAGGAGTATCATAAGAGGCAGGTCCCCAATGGGTGAAGTCTTGATAAGAAGCTGGCTTGGAGTCAGTATATCTAAGGAAAGTTATGTTTCTAATATCCTCAATGGGCTTACAAACCGGTTGGTCAGAGGCAGGAACCCAATATGTACTGTAAATTAAGGTCCTGTTCGAGACAAAAGGAAGAAATGTTGAGGGAAGAGGCCATTTGAACTCATACATTTTTGTGAGTATTGCACAAAGCAGCTGATAATCCAGGGGGCAAAGCACAGCATATCAAAGTATCAATAACACAGATTTTTTTTGTGATTTTAGCACAGATTATCAAGAATAACCTCTCTAAAGTAAATCCGTTGGGGGTATGCACAAGAGCATCTTGTGCCTCATTAATAAGAATTTTTAGGCTTCCCCAGGTGACTAATTCCTCAGGACGTGTTATTCTTTACTTTCTCGGCAGAGGGTTGTGATGGTTGGCGTCCATCAAGGCTAGGTGACTGGAATTGCGAGATCGGGTTGTGGAATTGCGGGATCAGGTTGTTCACTCCTTGATACCATGCCATGGACAGGTCTGATGTAGTGAGCAGGGACCTACAGTGGACCTGTGGGGTTAAAATAGAAGAATACCGTCTCCTTGGTTACTTGATTTAACTATAGTTTGAGCTTGTGTGAAAGGAATGTGAAACTTTTTGTTAACAGCATTTTGTGAAAGAATTGATGATCTATAAACAAAGGTAATAAAGAGTCAGCATAATTATTGCCTTGCGAAATGAAGTCAGGTAGTTTAAGATGTGATTTAGTATGATAAATATAAATAAGAGATGAGCGACTCCACAGTAGAGTCTTATAGAGAAATAAGGAATATAGTATGGGATGAAGAGCAGAAGATATGATGGCATCTGGAATGTGTTGTACTCCATAGCAGGCATAGGCACTGTCAGAAACAATATTTATAAGTTGGTTGTCGAACAGCTGGAGAGCTAGTGGAATGGCTGCCATCTCATTTTGTTGTGTGGAGGTATAAGGGAGTGTGTATCTCTGATGCCAGGTCTGATTTATTTGCCATGTTATTACTCCCTTAGTTTTATTCCATCAATGTATACTGTGAGTCCTGAAACTGGCCTATCAGATAGAATCATGAAAAGATGAAAAGAAGAGATAGGAAGAGTCTTTTGTAGGTATGATAAGCATGTATCATGGGGCAAGGAGAATATATATATGTATATGAAAAAGACTGATAATGAAAACAAGTAGATAATAGTCATCATGGAAGAAAAAAACCCTGATGAATATCTTTTTCATAGGAAACCCAAAGGTTGATACAGCAAAGCCAAATAAATGTATTGCTCATTTAATAGCATGTTCATCAGACTGTAATTTGACTTGCAGGACTACATAGGGTCCTTTTCATGGCGTAAGGTATGTGGAGCCATTCTAAAAAATACCATTTGTTCTTATATTGTTGGGCTAATACCCCCCCCCATATAATAAGATTGATGAGCTATTAGAATGAAATGACTTCTCTCCTTACTTAAGGGAGTAGTATCTACAAAATTAAGGTATTGTAGAGCTTGTTTAGTAGGGGGAGAGATAGGTAGTGTTTGTGAGGTAGAGGTAAAGGAAGAGAGCAATTGAAAGAGTGGACTTAATGTTTGTGTGTCAATGGAATAATAGGACTGCAGCCAGTTTATATTTCCTAACATTGTTTTAGCTTTTGGGTAAGTTTATAGCCAAATGTAATGTCTTTTAATAAATTAGTGTTGTAAGAGCTATGTATGTCATGTTTAGTAGTAACTCTTTTTAATTCTTTGAACACAGAATAAGGGAGTGTTTCATGTCTAGAAGTAGCTCCTGGTCTTCTGGCAATTGGGCATAATGTTAGAATATAAGGGTCTCCTTCCTTTAGAGTTTCTTTAACCCAGTTGTCACAGGTTGGCTGAACCCGTGAATCCTTGTAAGGGTGAGCATTTTCAATTAGCAGAGCCGGGGATGTGGATATAGCTACTATTTTGGGTTCCTGTTTTGGGACAGAATTTTTTTCTTAGATACAGTGGAAGATGTGTCCACTGACGTTTTATTTTGTGGAACCCCAAATTGTTCAATAGCATCTCAGCATAGGTGCCAAGTTTTAAGTGTTTGTATGGGGGTGCTAGGAGCTAAGATATACCCACTTTTTTTCCAATCTGCAATCCACAAGGAGCCTGCATTGGGATACCAAGGGCAGCATTCATCTATTTCCTTAAGCAAGCGAGTTCAGTCTGAGATAGAACAAGCATGATTAGCAAAAACAAAAGCTCTACGTGGTAAGCAATGTGGGCTGTAGGAAAATTTTGTCCCATACTCACACCTAGTAGAATCTGAAGATGATGAGGTACACCATGAGTCCTTCTCAGATGGGGGGCTGAAGGGATGAAGACCCTCATCCTGGTTCCAGGAGGCCTGGGTTTTGGCACCACATGTTAGGAAACACTCACAGGCACTGGCCACAAGCAAAGACACACAGACCTTCAATTCAAGAAAGGTGAGGTTTGAAGCAAAAGAGCTACTGTTCTGCCTTCAGTTTTTATTTTTATATATTGAGTCTCAGCCTTTAGGTTACTTTTGGTTAACAAAACAAAACCTTATCGTGTGTGCCTAAGATTTATGTTTAAGCTGTATGTGACATGCAGCTGCTAGGGACCTGGGAACGAGGTCATGAAAGCAGGATGTCCTTGAGTTCCAAGTGTTCTTGGTTACTCCCTCTGCTGTTGTAGTCCTGTTTTTTATTTCTCATCCCACATTACCTGCAGGTCATTTTGCATGTCTCCATTTTAACTCCTTATCCCAACAATCACTTTTTTGTTTGGTTTTCTTGAGGAGTTATTTAGCATCCATTCTCCTAGACATTATGTAGTTACCAGTAATTTGTTAGTGTGACTTCTATATTTTATGTAAATCTCCCTTAAATTAACGATAGGTTTTATTTATAGTAAATCTTGACTAATGGACACTATATTTGCTAATTAAACATTTGTATGTATTTTAGTAAATTAGATGTTGATCTTAAATATATGATTAACACCTTTTTTCTCTGAAGAATTTCATCAAAATACATATATTCACATATTGGCATAATGTGTGGCACATGCAAGAACAAAAAAAATTTTAAGAGCAAAAGTTTTATTTACCATCTATTATCTGAAAGTATAATTGGTTGCCAATGAATGACATTTTATTTTTTGTCTTTGAGAAAGGGTCTTGCTGTGCAATTCAGGCTGGCCGGGAGCTCACTTTGTAGCTCAGGCTGGTTTTTTTTTTTTTTTTTTTCAGAACCGGGGATTGAACTCAGGCCCCTGCACTTGCCAGGCAAGCGTTATTCCACTGAGCCATCTCCTCGGCCCCTCAGGCTGGTTTTGAACTCCCAGCGATCCTCCTGCCTCCACTCTCAAATGCTGGGATTACAGGCATGCACCACCATGCCTGGTTTATGAATGTCATTTTAAAATCCCATACATATGCTCATCTCAAGCTTAGTGAATGCACTGTTTGTTTCTTGCTGTGTTGTATAAAACTGAGTTATGTTAGTTGATTCTTTTTTTTTTTTTTTTTTCTTTTAATTTGGACAGGGTCTACAGGGTCTCACTACCCAGATCAGACTCATAGTGATCCTCCTGTTTTCAGCCTCCCAAATGCTGGGATTACAGGCATGTGCCACCATGCCCAGTTTCAACTGTGTCTCAGCACACCCCGGGGGTGAGGCAGGCATGGCATTCAGTATTCATATGTTATACTCTGTCAATATATTTAATTTTTTCTTGACTAACTTGTAGAGCTTTGTTGGTATAGCTAAAAATGATAAGATTTTGAAAAATCCTTATAAAGATTCTGTATTGGATAGAAATGTATGAGATTCTACAGTCCCTTTTTATTTATTTGTTTATTTTCTACTTCAAGGGTTTATCTCTAACCTAACCATTCAGAGACAGTATTTCCCTAATGATGAAGATCAGGTTGGGGCAGCCAAAGCCTTGTTACGTCTCCAGGACACCTACAATCTGGACACAGATACCATCTCAAAGGGTAATCTTCCAGGTAAGATAATTTTTCCATTCTGTACAATGCCTATTCAGTCTTCTAGAACAGTGTGAAAAAGACTGATTTTAAGAGTTTAAAGCTGTAGTTTTTTTTTTTTTCTCCTAACTTTTGGATACAGAAGAACAATCCTTTCCAATAGAACTTAACGGTGGTAGATATGCTTCTGGCTTGTTACTGTGAAAGCTTATGTTTAGGGCTAATATAAGTAAGCAACTTTTAGTGCATGAGTAAAAGAATTTTCCCAGACTCTTAAAAGAATGTCTGGTACTGCTTATCTATGTATCTGTAATAAAATTGATGCCATTTGTGTGTGCAGTAATAAAAAGCCAAGACTACTGGGATATTCACAAATGGTTAAAGTATTTTAAAGGATAGAACATTCTGCTTTTTTATTTTTGGCAGAACTCCTGTTTTCTAAAGTTACATCTCGGGTGAGGGAGATAGCTCAGCATAAATGCTGCCATGCAAGCTCAGGTCCTGAGTTTGATACCCAGTACCTCCCCTCCCCCAACAACAACAACAAAGTCTTAATCTTGCATCTGATTTTTATGATAATTTACATCTTACACATTTTCTGTGAGTCTGTAGTTTATGACCATTAATGTCTCCTGGAAAAAGTAAAATATATTACCTCTGTGTTCATATTGCATATCTTCTCAGTATGAAAAAGACTGGTGTAAGTTATTTATCAGGGTGTTTTCCTTACTCTCCCTTCATTTCAGACAGTATCAAGTGATAAAACTAAACATACATAATAGTAAGTAAAATTTCTATTAAATGAAGATAACTGCATTAATTTGGACTTCCAAAAATGTACAGATTTATAAATGCTATTTTTTATTTCTACTAATGCTTTCATTACAACACTTTTGATAAGATTATAGCTTTGTGTGTGTGTGTACATGTGTGCATGTGCGTTTGTGTGTGTGTGTGTGTGTGTGAGAGAGAGAGAGAGAGAGAGAGAGAGAGAGAGAGAGAGAGAGAGAGGTGCTGGGGGCTTGAACCCAGGGAGAACTACACCACTGAACTACACCCACCTGATTATCTTTTTCTTTTGGATGTTGGGTTGGGTCCTAGGGAACCAAGGAGGGTTATGTTGCAAAAGCTTAAGTAAGAAGTGATAGCAGTGTCTAGTGCATTTGGAGAAACAGACATAGGTAGTGGGGAAGCAGATGGTGAGATCTGATACTGGACTTTATATAGGTTCTTGGGCTTATGCAAGTAGGTGGGGTCCATCTAACAAAATAGAGAACACAGAGGCAGGTTTTCTTTTGGGGGGAATAATTAATTTCATTTACTTTTCTATATTTTATTCAAATCTTTATCTTCTCATTCTAATTTTGAACATTATCTAACCTCAGTTTAACTGTGTTTAACCTTAGGAAAATCACTGGGTCCACTGAGTACCAAATCTTTAATTTAGAGATCAGTTGGCAAAACTTTGATACAGAATGGCTGAAAATAAAATATTCTAAGAAATGTAGTTATTTTTCATTATAGAATGTTAATGTTTTCTTACTTTTTTAATCTCCTTATTGACTTCTCTTCCTCTCCTGGAGTTTTACACACAGTATTTTTGTACAGTATTTCAATACATTATGTTCATTATTTATTTTGATGAACATAATGTCCCATTTTAGTTGGAGGGAGTCTCTTCACATTAATTTATCATTCTTTTTGAAATGTTATTCTTTGATAGCAAGGAAGCTTCCTCCTTTTGCTGTGCAGTTTTTGTTTTTTGTTTTTTTAAACAAATTTCTACAACAGAGCAGGAATCAAGCGTTTATCTAATAATGAGCATTGATTTTTATTGTTGTTGTTGTACTGGGTATTGAACCCAAGCCCTTCTTTATTTTTTGAGACAGGGTTTTGTAGAGTTGCCCAGGCCAGGCTCTTGAACTTGTGATCCTCCTGCCTCAGTGTCACAGAGTGTTAGAATTCCATTGTGTCATAGCATCTGATGAACTTTGATTTGTTTTAATAGGAAATGTTACTTAAAAAGCAGTGTCTAACTACTGGTAGACTGTAGTTGAGTTTATAATTTATTCCAGGTCTTTTAAATTAATAGAGGGAGGAAATATGTGGGTTCATATTAGTTCCAATTGCAATTGAAGGTTACAGAGTTTATACTGGTATCTCTTTTGTGTTGAAAATCCCAGTTCCTAATGATATTAACTTCTTTGTATTATCTATAATATGCCTAAAATAATTTACAATAACAGTGCCTTTATTATTAATAACATTGACCACTACATGTGTTGCTTTTTAATCACACCAGAAAAATCAGTCAAAATATTGACTTGAGGACTCCTTAAATAATTCATTTCTGTGCATGGTTATATCTTCAACATACTCTAGAGTTGGGTTCAGTTATTTCTGTGTTGTTTGTTCATTTTGAGGCATTATTGCCTTTTTCTTTAGATTTTTTTTGTCTCAATATAAAATTTTCTTAATTCTTTTACCATCTAATCTATGCTGAGTGCATTTATAGAATTCTCACTTTCATACCTGTACTTCTCAGTCTATGCCTTTATTCCTGTATGCAACCATTTTACTGGTTTTTTTCAATTGTCCAAAATTTATTGTAAAGAAAAAATCACTAAAGCATATACATAAAAAATATTAGCTATGGAAGAACAAAATTAAATGGCACCTTATTCCACATTACAAAGAAAAAAAAAGGACCAAGTGTATAAGAAACTAGACTAATTAAAGGACTTAAAAGATCTGTCCTCTTTGAATTTTATACTTAGC